ACATGATAACGTGATACATGTATAGTATAGGTGGTAAGCGGTTCTAACCACTTGATGGTAAGCGGTAATCAGCTTGCTTCCCTTTCCAATATCATATAAAGTAAATACACTTATGTTTGTAATATTTAGTTACTCACCGATTATCTTTCTAGACTGTGTATTATCCAATCCACAACAGTCAGTTAAAGGATCTGGAGGGAATGCGTTTAGATTATGGCAATTCCCACGTTGAATAATTTCTTTTGGAGGTCCACAGCATACACTGTATTCTTCTGCGCATCTGTAATTAAATTACATCTAAGATTTAAAGGACACGCGACGATCTAGTCGTTTATGTAGATCGCGAGTGACCAATATGACTGACGTCAAAAAAACTTTAGTGTGTCAAATTATATTTCTGAATGACTCTACGATGATGGAAACACCGATAACAAACTAAATAAATGGATTTAAATAATGAGCGAAAGTCAATGAGGACTTGCGTTGTTGCACCGCGACGTCGACATTTGGCTTCGCTATTCACAAGTCTTCTACTCGTATATACAATTAGATATTGTATACTTAAGATATTATCGGTATTCTTAAATATACTATCTATACTAAAAATATAAAGTGATAAAGTTTGTGAGTTTGCATGTTTGGAGTTGTAGTATACGTAGGAAAGAGAAGGAAGTATTATATCGTCTTTAGCGCACACTGCTGGCGTCATGCGGGCATTAAGCTGTGGATTGCGTGTGTGTCTGACAACCGATAATTAGGAAGACAAACAGTACAGCGACAATCTCCAGTTCTACTGATTCGATTTTACTGACCAATTATGTGGTCGTAAAAAAATACACCTAAATTATTCTTGTTATAACATTCAACATCAACTTTTTTATGTTAACTTACCTAGAACTCTTAACATAATCAATATTTTGTTGAACCAACGGTTGTTTGAGCATGTCTAATAGATGTTGACAGGAATATATACTGACGCATTTGCCTACATTACCATAAGGCGTGTAACATTGCTTTACTGTTTCTTGTGTAGGACAGCATACCTGCAATAATTTGAAATAGGTACTATATGTACATATTTCGATCAGTTTTTCATTTTGGATTCGATTCCACGCAAGCTGCGAGTATAACACAAGTTTCATTTAGTACTAGCTGTACATGCGTATACACTTCGTCAGCGTGGAATTTAACTTTATTTTTCTAAAATAATTCATTACTAATTTACTCCTTTCTACATCAGCTATCTGCCAAAAAAAGTCTCGTCAAAATCGGTACAACCATTTTAGAGATTATCCGGAACAAACAGACCGACAGAGAGACAGACAAAAATTATAAAAAATGTTTTTTGGTGTATGTACCGTATTTATATTCATTTGCATGTAGTAAAAATCGGTTATTTCCATATTACAAACAAACACTCCAATTTTATTTATATGTATTTTCATATGATGCCTACCTTTGGCGCTTGTCCCTCGAGCTCACAATGTGACTTTGTCAAAAATTCCATATCTTGTGGTTTTATGTACTTTTTAGACACGCTAGTTAAGAGAGAAGAACACTCCTTCATGGGTATACAACGTCCTTGGCCGCCACTGGGCGTAGTACATGATGATTCTGAAAATAATTAAATTTTAATGAAGTGATTGATATTAATCAAACTTATAAAAGAAAACTTTAAACTACAAATTGATCTTGTACACCGAACAAATATGCATAATTACGTAAATTATCATAATTATACAAGTTTTATTTTATGATTATGGAATTATGCAACTGCCTGCGCTCGATATATGCCGGCGGGGCGCCTGTGGAGGGTGATAAGATGAACATGAAGTCAGATTAGTTGGCCCATCGTGGTGGCTTGTAGATTATACGCGTAGAGGTCAACCTGACTTGGTGTGCTAGTGATGTAGTAACCAGTTCACATTACTAACAACCCCTGTCCCTCTATTTATATAATTATGTATGATTTTTTTTTTAAATTGTTTCTGTTTAACGTACTCTATGCTTCAGCGTTTGCGCTTGTGGTTTACGCTCGCTTCAGCAGAGTTGGAACGGATTTTTCAAATTATGTTTTTATTGGGTGTAAAATTGATTTGAGTTATTGTAATGTATACATTTTTATAAATATATAACATTATTAATATAAGAAAACATAAAACAATATTTACGAAGTAACAAAAAATAACGAAGACAATAAAAACAATATAAAACAGAAGTAAAAGAACAAAACAAAACAACAATAGAGGTAAAACAAAACAAATAACAAAAGATTAAACAAAATAAAACGAAAAAAAAACAAAATAGAGACGTTGGTGGTTTTGATGACGATGGTATGGAGATGATGATGATGGTATGGAGATGATGATGGTATGAGAATGTTGATGATGAAGGTATGGGAATGTTGGTGATGATGACTATGTCTGATTAAAATGTTTGAGGTTGTGAATGATGTATGATATGTGTGATGTGAAAGTGTCGATGGTTGATTGATGTTTGATGATGGATGGGAGATGGAATGGTTCTGAGACCCGAACCATGCCACAGGCCGTCTCATGGTCGAGCCTCGTGGGACCAAACCGACACTCCTTAATGAGTAATAAGTAGTAATAATGTTAATAAGTAGTAATAAGTTAGTTATAAGTAGTAGTAAGTTAGTTATAAGTAGTAGTAAGTTAGTTATAAGTAGTAGTAAGTTAGTAATAATGCCTGGTATACTGGCAATTGTCTGTCGTGTTGTATAAGTCAGTATGTATGATTATATATTCATATTTCATACATACTTTTATAAATAGGTTTGCTGTTGCAAACCTACCTGCTATAAAGGTATACGCTGGCGGGGTCAATGAAAGTTGAATGAAATAAGTCTATTTAGTAACCCTAACACTGTAGCAAATTCAATATTAAAAAAATATAAGTCTAAGCAGTTTCTACAAAAAAAAAATGTTTTCTAATTAAAATAATACGTAGGTTCGGCAAAAGATTGTCCTCTTTTTATCAATATTTTCGAATAACAGACGATGGGATGACAATGTCTCAAGTTCATATATTACTGTTATGAGGAAAAATATTAATTTATTTTTCCTCATAGCAATCAAGATTAAAAAAATCTATATACAAATAAAAAAAAATTAAATGTCTGTTTGTCATTTCAAATTAAGATCTTTTTCCTAAAGGCATATGAAAATTTATACAGTACTTACATAAAAAATTAAGTTAAAAAAATTACAGTCTTGCTAATCTCTGAAACGGAATCACCGATTTTGACGAGACTTTAACTCGCAGATAATCAATGTTGTCAGGAATATTTTGGGGAACTTTTATTTTAGTAATTTTATTTATTTCAATAAAAAAATTTCATTCCACTTTCAAGTCGCGGTTAACAGCTAGTACTTATAAAATAGCACTTACGCGATCGCACGAAGTACACATTTAGTATGGAAGCCAATATTAATAATATATGCTTCATTTTAATTTTATCACACAGTTGGTGCATGTATCACAGAATATATTTTTTTATTGAATGAGTCTTTAATCCTGGATGCTGCAGTAAGACGAGCGTTCTCACATATGTAGCATCAGCAAATGTTGTATACTTTGTTTATTTCAATGTATTATAGTAACGAGTCTCTACTATTTTCAGCAGTTTAATCTAAACCATATATATAATAGGTTATGGGCGAATTTCAAATAACTGAGAAAATTATTCGCCACTAACCGGTATTTCAAGTGACTGCCTACTGAGGTTGCTGATTCTCTCATGGACTGTGAGCCTATTGGAAACCACGTTATACTTATTCTATCGAAAAGGAAAAACATATTTGAATCCTATTTCTTTATATCGAAAACAAAATTAAGTATAATATATACCAAAGATTTTTTTTTCAGTATTATTATAATAATTTATATTATATTGAAAAATGTACCTAAACTACAATGGCTTGATCCAACAGCGTTCGTACCCGTATCCTGTACCTATATTTTATTGGATGATAATAGAATGGGGCACTCGTCTTTGGGGCACCAGTAGAGGATAAGATGAGCATTAGGTCAGGTCAGTTAGCCTATCTAGGCAAATGGCAATTTACCACGATGGTTTCCAGGGGCTGGGGGGAACCCCATGGAAGTCAACATGACATGTTATCACTCTGGTTATTATTCCACATAACTAACAATCCCGTTCACCCCCCTACAAATATATTAAAGCAATAAAAGTTATAGAGATAATATAACAGTTGTATTTGATAGTAGATTATGTGAAAAAACTAATTATGTACATGAATAAATTAATAAGCTTATTTATATATGTGCATATACCAGTATGTAGATTCATACTACTTTGCCTACTGTTGGATACATGATTAATGTGACAAATTAAAACTTGATTGATGAATTGTTTTTTTTTACACATAGAGGCGCGCGGGAAAATTGAATTATTGGCGAATTTAAAAACATTATGACATTTAACAACTGATTATGACAGACAATAAAGACTTTACTATCTATACCATAAGGTATAGATAGATTTGTTTACAGTGCTCTGTAGTAGTCTCTTATATTATATTAATCACAATTACAATTAACATCGGTAGAGAGTGGTGTGATTTTTAACTATTATCAATTTCCTTCACGAAAATTGGTAATAGTTAATTTCATTAAGAGTATAATATTAAATTAAATTTCTACACCAGAAAGACTAAATTATAGTGTTTTGGATATACTTTCTATCTCCAGCGCAAACTCCGATACAATACGCCGGCATAAATGCTCGTAAAAATAACGACCGAAATAGATGTGGTGTATCACTTATTAGGTCGGTATAAAATGTTTCATTTTAGGAAGTTAGAGAATGGCTGCTTGAAGTTTCTCAATAGTTCTTGTCTTTAATGATTTTTGGCGCCTCTCAATAAAAGCACAGATAACATAATATTATAAAAGCTATCTCTACTTAAATTTTTCAGATCTATATTAATTCATATTACTTCGAAAATACCACTGAACATAAAGAGAAACTAATAGTAATGCTAACAGAAATGAGGGATGTAATAAACATAATAATATGGTTAACAATCTATATTTGTACATTGTTTGTATGGTACAAATTTGTGTAAGAATTGAATTCTTCCATCCCAATATATGCTGACAATTTATGTTTGATGCTATGATGATCAATTACTCACAAAGCAATATGATCAAACTGCAATTTAATTTAATCTAATCTAATTTTAATTCTAACAGTATAACAATTACAACAAATAAATATTTATGTGTCCTTCTCCTTTTCTACATCAGTCTTTAGAAATGTTTCGTACTGTTCTTCAGTCATTAGGTCTTTCAATTCTTCTGGTTTCGTCAACTTAAGTTTGAACAGCCAACCCTTATCATAACATGATGTGTTAATAAGAGCAGGTTTATTCTCCACATTGCTGTTCTTCTCTGTCACTGTGCCACTGACTGGAGAATAAATCTCACTAGCTGCTTTGACACTCTCCAAGGCACCACATTCCTCACCAGCTATTATTAATGACCCAGGGTCTGGTAACTGTGCGAAGACCACATCACCAAGAGATTCTTGAGCATAATTGCTTATTCCAACTGTTCCAATTTCCGCTTCTACAGTCACCCATTCATGTCTGTCTGTGTATTTTCTGGTAGCCTTGCTGCTGTACTGATGATGTAGCTGGCAATAAGACGGCCTTATGTTTGATTGAAGGATATGGAATTTAGTTACATATTGGTTTGCGACTTGGAGGAAGTATCTTTGCAGAGCCATTTTTACCTACAATAAAAATATCAATTATGTACTATGATAATATAAAAAAATATATACTAATGAATAATATTAATTATCATCATTATTATTATATAGTATAAAACAAATTTGCTGTCACTGTCTGTCCCTATGTAGGCTAAATCTTTAAAACTACGCGGATTTTGAAGCGGTTTTTTTTAATGGGTATATAGGGTACTGGCACTAGTAGTCGGCACCGCACCAGTACTCAGCCTTTTTCGGTTTAAAACCAATAGGAATAGCGCTATAACAGAAAATACCTAATCAAATTATTCTTAAATAGCTTCTATGACTTCTCATTGCTAGAATTAAATCCAAACATAATAGCTACGTGGCTGCGAAGTACATTAAATATGAATCTATTTCGAAGTCATCGGCTGACGAGGCGACATGCGGCGTGCGCGCCATTTTTTTATTAGTGAGAAGCGTTCACAGAAATGGTAATTTATTTCATTTTTTTGTTAATTTTAGGCCACATTGTATTAAAATTTACATTAATTAAGACTTTTGGCATTGTAATCAATGAAAAGTATCATGTTTTTCTTAAGAATTATTAAATAATGAAGTGGCCGACTACTGGGTCCCATTTTTATATACATTATCTAGTACTCAACCACCCCTGGCTGACTACTGGTTTTAACGCTGTTTGTCAAAAACCCAATAGTCGGCCACTTAAATAGTTAGAGTTTGTTACATGGCTGAGTACTGGTGACAGTAGACCCAGTGTTCAACCCTCCATATTTAAATTGTTTTTTATATAGTTTTTTATACAAAAAAAGAAAAAAAGCAGCTCTAGATTCTACCAAAAGTAAAGTGACGGAGACTACAAAGAAGAAAAATTATGATTATGATAAGGAATTGATCGTAAAATACACAAAGACAGGCTGTGATTTAGTGGAAATCAAAACAAAATAAAATTAAAATTCTCAGTAATATACTTCTATATCCTGAAACTCCTGACACAGAAACCTGTAAGGAAGATAAGCTCCTAAAAAATTGTTAATCGGCGACTTTTAGAAAGAAGAAGAACTTGAAATCTTTTTAAATACTGATGTTACTAAAGAAGTTTCCGACTGATTTAAATATAAGTTAGATAGGTATTTGATTGTTGTGTTTGTTAGGGCACAGTTAAGTCCTTTTAGGTTCTATGACCGGACTAATTATTTATTAATGTTCTTAATGTTTAAGCTTGAAACTATTGATCTTAAGAGAGGCTGACCACTGGTGGCAATGTGGCTGAGTACTAGTTTTTGGCGGCTGAGCACTGGTGAAAAGTGCCTTATTTTGTTAAAAAGTATTTTTCACTTTATTAAAGGATAAATTTGTAATTTTTGTTGATTTTGTAACAAAGTTTAATAAATGAGTAAGTTAAATTATACAAAAGACTTTCAATTTACTCTTTCTAATATTTTCTTATATAAGTTTGAACCCAGACTTACCACTAAAAGGCTGACTACTGGTGCCAGTACCCTATGTAATGTTTGTATATATAATACATGTACACCAATGTGCAGCCGAGTAGCTAGTATATATAAAGTATTATTGGAATGGAGTGTACGTTAGAAATTAATTAACATCGCTTCCGCAGTGCCTACAAAACCAATGAAAAATATTTAAATTATAAATAATGTAAAATATTTGATAGAAGTAGATTTGATAGTGTTATGTAAAATATGTTAATAGTTTATGAAGCCATAGTAATTGAAAAAAAAAGGCTTGGCTGGTGTAGAATGTATTTTATATATATGTATGTATAATGTATACTATTTTCGTTTATATTTTATTTTAGTTTATATATAAATCAAATATCTGTAGCAATTTTAAACTAGACGTTCTCTATACTCACAATTATTTCAGTATCTACTTACTTAAGGTTATGTACCTTCGGCTAATTTATACAGAGAGTATATATAAAAGAATTTTACTTGTTTATTAAGAAATTAATAATTAGAAATTTATACAATTATAGGTTAGAATTCAAAAAGAACTATTGTACCTATATTGTGATAAAAAATAAATTTGAAGACTAAGACATTGTTATTAAAAATTATGACAGTTTCTCTTCGGTGAATGTCAACTTTTGCATTGATTTTTGAACGAAAGTGTTGCTGGGTTTATTATTTTTCTATTTATTATGGGTAAATTGCAGTTGCCACTGCCCAATATAAGTTGCAACAGCAAACCACAGTTGTAATAGCAAAACTAATATAACTTTAATCATACTCGCCGATTACATAAATAAAATTAATTACGCTGACATCAGATTATGACATTTATTTTTAGAGAAGAAAAATTTAAGATCTCATTTTTTGTAGGTACCTACGGCGGTCTGAAGTCAAGGATAGTGTTGAAAAAGAAAAAGGGTTGGTAGAAGGATCTGCCGTTTATAAAATAGTAAGTATTTTAATAATTAATATTTTTAAACATAATGTCTCATCAAAATCTTTCACAATAACTCTCGTAATCATTATTATATCACGAAACTATACGATTATACATAGGAGTATAATACTGACTAATACTCGGCGACAACTGGAATACTACAGACCTGTGTGAACACATTATTTTGCATCTCTACGGTTTACTAATACCATAATTTGTTTCAGAAGCCTTCATCAAATCAAATCTCTTCCTCATTTGAAATAAGTAACTAATAATAAGTCGTATTGGTCTTTTACCGCTTCGAAGGCAAATATACAATTATTATAATCAGATAGAGCATACATTCTATCTGATTATAAACGGTTACTGCAACTTATAGATGCCTGAAACACGTGGGGAAGCCCTAGCTAGATAAGATGAAGAGAACATTAAATGAATTCCATTGGCGTACTAATTTTCAATAATCTAATTATTCCTTATCGTCAAAAATTTTAGTAAATCATTGTATTAACAGTTTTTTTTTATACTAATGATGGGATGTTTTGAAAATTGACGGTAACATTTTATTGTCAAATGTTGGACCGAAACGTCATTCATTGTTCGCCTAACCATGACTGAAAGATGTCAAAATAAGTTTACAGAAAATTTAGAGAATCGAAAATATATTATTTACTTTGGTGTTATATCGGCTTCGATAACAGTTTTATATTTTTATAGGTAGGCGACTTGAATAATAGTTCGGCGGTCTCGTTGGCTGTGTAAAATCTTTGTAACCCAGTTTTCGATGTTGCAGATTTCACTTCGTAACTATAACCTTCAGTTATGTGTTGGGATGTTTGGCTTGTTATTGCGGCCTGAATTCCACTATTCTACATAATTACTTGGATAATTTAAAGTGCCATTTCATTACAAACCCACCTGAAGATGAGCAAGAGGAGGTTCCCCTGAAAGTAAGTATCGGTTTATTTATACTAACGCAGGTCGTGTTTTTCTTCGTCTAGGTTTCTTTTTTAAAATCTAGCGTAATGTTATTGTTTTTAAACCTTTTTTCTTACATACTCTATTTATTTTTATAATACATTTTAGGAGTCCTATTTTAAAAATATAATACTTTGATGCAGGGCTGTGCTGCATGTGGTTCAAAAACTTGTGCTCGACATGACGCGGGACTTACCTCTGAGCCCTGGGAGGGGCTCCAAATACATAAACAACTTGACCAAGCCATACAAGATGTGAGTACCTGTGTATAATATTATTTGAAACATTAGTAAGTAAGTATCTAAATATATAAAGAAAAATACCGGAGCCCAAAGTAAAATAAATTTGTTATTTAAACAGAAAATTATAAAACTCAGCCATATAGGCTTGGAAATTAATTTTATAATTCAGTTGAAATTAGTGTTAAAAGTTTAAATGTTTGTAAAAATGTTTTATTTTTTTTAATATATTGTGTTTGAATGAATTGATAACAAATATAGTTAAAAAAGAATTATAATCAACTGCATTACTGTGTCTGACCTATTCTGTCTAATATGATAACTCCATACTTATTTTATAATTTATCTAAATTTATCTTTATTATAATTAATTAATCATTTATATAAATAATTCTTTAAATATATATTTATTCAACATATAAAATCACCTACACTAAAACAAACATATGGATCTTAATTTGATAAATCCTAGGATTAGACAATTGAAAATTTGTAATTACATAAATAACTGTGTAGTTATGAGCATGTTACAAAACCTCATAGACAAATACAAATAAATCTATATGTTTGTATTGTGTGATGATCAAACCATTACATTTTTTAGACCTTTCAGGTCACTATACAATCAATTGTGTTATATTGCGTCATAACAAAAGTTAAGAATATTATAACAAAAGCTATGATACATGATTCATATTATATATGTTGTGGTTTACAACCCTGATAAATATACTCAGTTGAATTGGGCTAACAAGTAAAATTTGAGTCAATTTATATTTAGACTGACTCTGGATAAAAATAACAATAAAGCCCCTCCCATTCCCTTGGAACGGAATTGTTAGTAATGTGGACTGATTACGCTATTTCTAGTAATGTCATTTCTAGTAATCAGCTTGACCTCCTTGTGGCTCCCCCGGGAAACCATTGTGACAAATTCCTGGTGAATTTGTCAGGATGAACTTAGTGACCTGATCTATCTTATTATCCTTCACTGGTGCCCTGCCAGATGTAAACCATTAGCGCAGCTGCACTATTCCAATAAAAAATACCAATAACAAACAAAAAAGTATCAGACAGACATTAGTAGGTTCACTCCTATTGGATACAAATACACCCATTGAATTATGGCTGTGTGGAGTATTTCATTCATCACATTATTGACAGTGTTCTCTACACCTTAGCTCTCTATCCCATTTGAGATAAGCTAAGTCCTCAAGCTATATTCAAATTTTTTTTATTGTTATCACTACCATCATATTTGGTTAGTTACAGTGGAGAACAACTGACAAGCAACACAACTGGTACATTTTATGTTATTAATATTTATTATATGTAGTATAGATATAAATTATTTGTCACGTTATTAGCCTTACTATCTAAATGTATGTCTGTTATTATTGTTATCTGTATCTGATAATCTGTTTATAAACTAATGAGTAATGTCATATATTATGTTATAATCATATATTAATACTAATCAAACAACAATGAACATGGCATGTATATGCTGGCGGATCATCAGTGAAGGATGATAGGACGACAAATAAAGTTAGATCAGCCCATCATGAATGATTCAGCAAAAATTAAATACGACAGTTTCCAGCGGGTATCGCATGAAGGTCTATAAATGGGGTCATTATTTTCCATTACTAAGCGCCCTCCCCTACACATAAGTGGAATCACATGTGTAACATGACAACTTGATGTCTGTAGTGCTGTTCATGTATATATGGACAACAATTACTATATTTCTTTTTATGTTGATAATAGAATGATGCTCCCGCCTGCGTTAACGGTTCATGCTGGCGGGGCACCAGTGTAGGATGATAAAATGAGCATGATGGTAGGTCAGTTATCCCATCTTGCCATCTCATATAGTACAATATAAAGAGGTCAATCTGATATTACATTGTTGGCAATGAGTTTATTACTCTATATATATATCGGGGGGATCTAGCAAGCTGGTCACTGGGGGGAAGGGTATTGTAATGTGGACTTCCACGAACCATGACGTGTCCAGGGAAACCATCGTGAAAAATTCCTGGTAAATTTATCACGATGGGCTAACTGACCTGACAACGTGGTCATCTTTTCATCGTTCACTCCTCTTACTCACTCACTTCCTCGCCAGCGTAAGCTGTTAGCGTAGGCAGGTGCACCATTCCATTATCATCGAGGAAGGTTAATTGTTAGTAATGTGGACTAATGAACTCATTACTAGCAATATGTAATGTCAGGTTGACCTCCACGAGGTTCCCCCTGGAAACCTAATAATCCCATTGGTTATTAGTAACAATATTAACAATCCTCTTGCCCCGACGGTTACTATTTATCTAGTCATCAGCTTGTTTGTCATTACAAACACGATCGAAGTCGCGGTCTCAGCTACTAATCAATATATTGATGTCAGCCTTGATTTTCTTATCGTACTACGTATGAGTCAATACCCAGTCAAACATACCGCGCTATATTTGTATTGCGTTATTGCTTAATGATAAAGGAATGACGCTGCGAGAACTTATTGCTTACTATTGTCTCGTGTGTATATGAATATTAATTTGAAAATTATGAATTATTAAGCCTGACTGAAGACCTTTTTGTTATGTTAATTGGATATATGAGTACGTAAGGTATAATATATATATATATTAAAAGCAAAAAGTTATACCCCTTTTACGAAAATTATGAGGACAGAGGACACTTATAGTTTATATAGAGGAGTGCTAATATTGTTTTTTTATAATTATGCATAAAAATACTTAAAATCAATAAAATAAATACACACATTACCATGTATTTGACACACGCATATAAGTGTACTTTTTTTAGCCTGTGGTCAAATTGACCATAGATTAACATTGTTTGTCTTTAATATTATTTATTATTGTCTTACTGCACTTTAAATTAACCTTACGTTGCTGTAAGGTGCAGGTGGATGATAAGATTAGCATGAAATCAGATTAATTAGGCCATAGTGGCGAATTTTCCAATTATGATAATTATGCTATCAAACCACAATGGTTTCTAAGAGGAGACCGCATGGATGACCTTCACAGTACCTACATTATTAGCAATGGAATTACTAATCGCCATTATTAGCAATTCCTTCCCTCGTCACCGGAAAGTTAAAAATATCAATTCGCACGCAATGTCTTATTGTGTATATTAGAACGACGACCTTTCGGACTAAGGCGCAGTAGTATATTGAAAGGCCATAAAGTTTTCAATTAAATATAATTATTAATAATAATAATTGTTGAATCATCGTACAACCTACTACTGCTACCTTAAAATAGCAAACTAAAAAGTAACTAAGACGGAAGTTGCGCTGCTGCCCCGTGCAACTTCCGTCTTTGTTACTTTTTGCGCGTTTTTACAACAATTTTTATTGCTCCTCTGCTTCTATTGGTCGTAGTATAATTATATATAGCGTTTAGCCTTCCTCGTTAAATGGGTTATCCAATATTAAAAGAATTCTCAATATCGGATTAGTAGAACCAGAGGTTACCCCGAACGTCCAAACTCAAACACTTTACGTCGTTATAATATTAGTAAACTAACTGTGCCCGCGGTTTCACCCGCTTGAAATTTAGAGCCTATATGTTATTCTGATGTATAGGCTATGTTACTGTAAAGTTTCATCAAAATCCATTTAGTAGTTTTTGCGTGAAAGAGTATCAAACATCCATACTCACAAACTTTCACGTCTACAATATTAAAAAGATTTATTAATCCCGATAATATCGTAATAATACAATATCTAAAGGAATATTGAAGACTATTTAACTATTATACTAGGAATAACTCGCGGGAACTTTCCAGAACATGGTACATTTTTTAAAGTAATTCGAAAGGCAAGCACGCTTTCGTCCCACCCGATGTAACCGTCACCTATATACATGAACAGCACTATGGACGTTATCATGTGACACCCATGATACCACTCATGCGTTCCTATTACAGAGGACTAAAATGTCAGTGGATAAGAGCCACTAATTTTACTGACTAATTTGCAGACTGTAACCGAAACAAAGCTTACGAAGCAAGCTGCTTGGTAGCTCAGTTCCACCCAAACAGACTACTTTTTATTCTATCTCTGGTAGTAAACATAATTCACAGTAGATCGCACGCACGTCGCATAATAAAAGTGCGTTTGTTTCAGTTCTACAACGCAATATTAGACCAGTTTGTGAACACATGGTACAGTAAGATCACATTGCAACCTTTCTTCGTGGACGAGTTGCGGCACCAGCTGAGATATGCCTCAGCTTGTTTATTGAGAAGAGCTCTTAAGGTACTTTTTTAATATATTTTATTTAATAACATGATATTTGGCTGAAGTGCGTTTCATTAATTTATTTATATTATTTTCTTTAATTCTGCTATCACTACCTATGGCTTAACACGTAATATTTTGTACAATATTCAAAATATTATATTTGGTTAAATTACATATATAAATTAGTATCTCTCTAGTCAACAGTTACAAAAATCCAGTACTATTATTAAGAAAATTCTTTACATTGTAAAATTCTTCATTGCTTAAGTTTTGTTCAGAGTTGATACAAAATGTGGCCGTAACAATCATAACAGGTAAATTACTCCCATCTGATCCTGAACCGGCTGGTGGGGTGCGCGCTGCAGCACTACACGGTGTGGTCGGAGGGCGGGCCGGGGACCGAGGCGGTGGCCCCGCACCCGGCCGCCTGCAGCAGAGAGGCCGAGCTGCGGTACCTCCGCAGCCTCACCAACGCGCTCATGCCATATCTCCTCGACGACACCAACGCGCACAACTCGTCAGTACTTATATTATTCATTAGTTCACGTACGCTCTTACACGCGCGAGAACGAAATTATGACGGCCCGAGCCGTAGTTCAAAACACTATCGGTGCCCTCAGAGTAAAGTCGTATCCGTCAGGGTGGAGGTGGCCTTCAGCCGCTCCATACGACCTTCCGCGAGTTTGGAGTGTCTTTTCTTTAATACAATTTTGTGACGTTATTGCGGCCGCGGTGGTCTAGTGGTTTAGCATATCGCTTTACTATCCGATGGTCGAAGGTTCGATCCCCCGCACGGTGCAAACATTTATTCATGAGTATGATTGTTTGTACCGGTCTGGGTGAATTCTATGTATAATATGTATACATTTACGAAAAAATATGTCTATGTATTTGTATCAGTTAGGGGCTGTTCAAGTATTACGTAAGCAGATTTATCACAATTATTTACCCCTCATCCCCCGTTGTCAGCAAAAGTAAGCAAAGCTCTTACCCCTCCCCCCATGCTTACGTAAACATTTCTCAATTAATGTATTGTTTTTTTAACAAAGACAATGTGAGGGTTGCCATTCGTGTAAAAAAGTAAATTACGACCGATGACGTAATCATCATACAGACTCCCCCACCCCCATGTCATCCAAAATAAGCAAAGAAAAGACCCCCCGCCCCCCTATAGTGCTTACGTAATACTTGAACGGCCCCTTACCTAGGATCCATAAGACAAGCTTTAGCTAGCTAGCTAGCTTAACTTGGGTCTAGATGGCGCTGTGTGAATTGTCTTGAGATTATTATTATTATTATCATTGTTGCCCGCTTGCAGAGTATTTCGTGTGCTAATAAGAGAAATTTTCGCCGGCTGGGTGCTGCTGTCACTCACAGACGTGCTGGCTGACCCGTACATCCTGAACAACATCATAATCCTCGCCACCAGTAATGAGAAGATGGCAGCTCTGCCTACCACTCCCAATTATAAGGTAAATTACACAGTATTATTATAAATAACTAGATGTGCCCGCCGTTGCATCAACGTGTTTATAGCCGATATTATAAGGTATAAGGTTCTTTAAAATTAAAAGTGTTTGCGTAAAAGAGTAATAAACATCCATCCATATATCCTTACACATAAACTTCCCCGTTTGTAATATTAGTAAGGTATATATTTAAAAAAATAATCTTTTATTCGGCATTGCATAATGGAATGAAATGGAAAAAATACATAGACTTAAAATCTAATATTGCGCTAAAAGCTGAAAGGGCATCCACTCAGCTGGTACTAAAGCTTATTAGCAATATAATGCATATGTATTAAAAAAAATATTTTACTATTTATATCAGTTGTCTAGTACCTACAACACAAAATTGTTTCTATAGTCTGTTTTTTAATCCTGGAGACAAATTTAGCGCTTCTGTTGTTGCCAGGTTTTTACATTTTTTAAATAAGGTTAGTGGCACTATCGGAAATTAATGTTACATATTTTACCCATTTTTATAGGTTAATCAGAAATAATCTATACATATAAATAAAATTGGAGTGTCTGCTTGTAATATTGAAATAAATGCGCTACATACACCAAAATGACATTTTTTACAATTTTTGTCTGCCTGTATGTTTGTTCCGGCTAATCTCTGAAATGGCTGGACCGACTTTGACAGACCTTTTTTTGGCAGGTAACTGATGTAATAAGGAGTAACTTAGGCTACTTTTTTTTTTTAGAAAAATAAAGTTAAATTCCACGCGGACGAAGTCGCGGGAACTAATCTATTTTATTCTATTGCAGGTGGAATTCCTGGAGACGTTTGTGCGGCATAATGAAACGGTATACAGCAAACGCGGAAAACTGCTTCGACTCGACTTGGAGTTCGTGATAAATGACCAGGACTACCTGTACGCCTTCATGCAATATATGAAGACCACTTGCCATATGCATTTGTTGCAGTTCTATAAGGATATCAGTAAGTAATTTATTCGGATGACAAATTAGGTTATGTGTATGAGCAAGAGGTATACCCTGTACAATTTTCAAAAGATTGTATAGACCTTTCGCTTTTTTCTTGTCTAGAAGTGTAGTAAGTTCTGTAATAGAAAGTTCTAGCAGGCTCCTATTAGATTTGGCTCGGCAGGGAGAGAAACACGTGTTGACTTTCGTCTGCAAGGGGCTCCTGAAACCTGCACCCGGGTTTCCCTCACTGCCGCTCCCTCGCGGTGAATCCATGGAATGCTCAAAATTCGTCTCTTTGAATTAGTCAGGTTCCAATTCTTTGGTAATTCAATGGTAAACTACGATGCCAGAAACTCTAAACATGTAGGACCGCTGAAAAGAAGTCTAACTTCCTTGCAGTCATAAGTGAAGATGGTAAACGACGACCCGAAAAATTCTTACTTGTATTTGGAATGAATTGCAGAAGTATTCCAGTGTAGAGTGCTGAACCCTGAGCTGGATGCGGCGGAGCAGGCTCAGCTGGTGCGGGCGGCGCGCGACCTGCTGCATCACCACCTGGCGGAGGGCCCGCGGCTGCCGCTGCCGGACGCCCTGCAGCATGAGCTCGCACACCTCCTCGACAGCCTCCACCAGGACGACGCCATTAAGAGGTGACAGACGGTTCTGTAATGTGTAATCGTCTTAAAAGTTTTTTTAATAACATAGTGGACACAAGCTTGGCTCACCTTTTTAAGAAGAAATAAGCTCCTTCTTAAAGTTATCAATATTGTATCGGTCCTGAAAAACCATTGAAGGAAGTAGAAAGATTACGGGTTCTATTCCCGTTCAATACTAACATTGGTTTTAATACTTATAGACATAAAATAATAATCGTGTTCCGATGTTTGTGCTGGATAAATAATACCATGTAGGTATTGTTATTATTAGAGACTGTGATATATGAATACATAAACATATCTTTGTTGATTTTTGTTGCAGATTACAAACTAGTCGAGCACTATATCAAGCCGCGAGACAATCGCACACGATTCTAGAAAAAATTATTTTGCCTAAATTTTTACACAGCGAAGAGGTAATTTTCACAATAGATATATATATATATATAATATTAATTCATCATTTTTTTGTATATCATGCAATCAGTTTTCCAGGCTGATAAAAATTTGTTGACAGTTGTAAAATCTTTATTTACAAGATTTTACAACTGTCAATAAATTTTTATTATATTTATAAGCAATTTTGAATAGTCATATTTTTATTCTACCACTCATTCCAAATGCAGATATATTCCAAGAGAATAAATAAGAAATTGTCCTGTTTTATTAATAATTTTTAGTAAGTTTTAATAAGTTAGTAAGATCATAGTGAAAAGAGAGGAGAGAAGACCATAGACTGGTCTACTCTACAAGCTATAATGTTCTTAGTAATATAATTAGTGCTTTGCAGGAATGATCTTTATGTAATTTATTAAAGTAAATACATTGAATTAAATTTAATTGCTCCCCAGTACAATTGCTAAATTTAATTGCTAAATAGCATCTATTCAAGCCGAATTTCTAGGTTTCATTTAGAGAGGAAAAGTAATTCTAGCATCTCTGTATATTAATATTGTATATGTTTACTTACTGTATTTTATATGTTTGTTTCAGTTTTACAAACTTGTGGTTGGTTCGAGAGCGCCAACTGGTTACCAAAAGCAACATATTAAGAAACCTATTGGGAAGTAAGTAACTTGGTTTTTTGCTAAGCTGAAGAGGAAATGCCACTACACATCCTATGTGGTTGTAGTCCACTCATGCATAAACGAAATATCTCCTTTGAAAAGTGTAAACTATATCTTGAGGAGATAAAAACCATTGCTTGTCCCTCACGGGTCTAGGTAGCGAATTTTGAATAAGGGTGAGCACAATAGATCTATACAGGTCGCATGGTTACAGGACAAGGGATTTTTAGTAATATGGACAGTTAACCCCATTGCTAGCGATTTGCCATGCCAGATTGATCTCCACGCATTTCCCCCTGTAAATCATCATGATAAAGTCTTGATTTTTCACAATGGGTTAAGTGATCTGACTACATGCTCATCATCCCTCACTGGTGCCCCAGAACGTAGACCATTTCATTAACAACCATTAAAAAAAATGCAAAATGTTTTTGCACATTTCAAAACATTTCAAGTCATAGCGAGTGTTTACCTTTTTTTATGTATGATTACAGACCAACAAACTTTGTAAGGCCAGAGCGAGTTTCGGGACATAATTTGGACACTTCAACCAATTCAGACGTGTCAGATGCCGATGGTTTAGATAAAATGGATATCCTTAAGTATTTGGAAACTGTAGCCGCCGAAGAAAAGTTGAGGGAACACGATTTGAGAACTTATAAAGTCGTTCTGACCAATGTCAAAGAACAATTGGTGAGTTTGAGTTAATATTTCACATAATAAAACAAAAATAATAAATGCGAATGATCCATACAACTGTATAAATGTTTTTACTTGGGATGATAAGTTTACCAAAAATATATTGCTCTGCAACAGACATTAGCAAATTGTCTATTTGCTCAAAATTAATTTATAAAATCAATAGTTTATTATTTTTTGAATAAGTGGATAAACCTTTATTTCAATTAAATTTAATGAAATGAAAGCTTTTGTTTAATAGCAATTCCCGCCACGACGAGGTACGGTCCGAGTATTCACCCTAGCGGTACACCGTGTCGAAGACGGTTCGGCGGCCAACTTGTGGACCGTAGAGAGAAGCGAACATGACTTCCACTTACTCAGGAGTAAGCTACACGAGTTCCATGGGGACAAACTGTTTCTAGACTTGCAACTACCTTCTAGAAGGTAAGTAACACTTAGGCACATTTTATTGTATATATATAAGCTTAATATACATAGTCTACTCATTTACTTTGATCGAAAAGTGAAATAATGAAAAATCTTTCTCCTGTCATTCTGAACTTAAATATACCGAGTTAAATGTACATGACATGTTAAACGTTAGGTTCATCACAACATCGGCACTTTCTAATGACTATGATTATCCCATATATACTAACAGTCATGAAGGTATATTGCTATTATATGATGATGATGAAGCTACAGAAGGTTCTTTACATTTCAGAGACAATAGCCCGCTAGAAACACTTAGATATAAATACGAAGATTTCCTACAAAGATTATTACAAAAGAGTCTTCTGCAAACAAGTGAACTTCTTTATTTCTTCCTCATCGCGGATGGCGACTTCTCAATGGCATTGCAACCATCTACCCTCAATGCTAACAGTACAGACTTGGCGAATTTGTACCAGTCCGTCACGTACAAGCTGAGGAAGGAAAAGGGACAGCATTTGGAAGGTTTCCTGAGGAATTTACTGTTTTCCTCAGATTTAGAACGATACCAAGTTCTGTAAGTATTTACTTCAGAATCATACTAATATTTTAAATATAATAATAATATAAAAGTTTGTTAGTATTGTTTTTTGCTCTTTCCCACAAAAACTGTGGATTTATTCGAATAGAAGTAGAAGGGTCTGCCAATTAATATTTTCCACATTTTAAAATAAAAATGGAGTTGTCTGTTTTAGAGGAAGAACGGAAACATGGCAAAAACCAGGCCAGTGCAATTATCACGTGCTTAACTGCGCATTTGATCATGTTAGACATTAAAATATAGGATACTTCGACTCGTTTTTTTAGACTATTCTTGTTTAGTATTAGTTTAGTCTAAACTTTGTATTTTCAATGTAAAGCCACCATCGAGCATCTCTGTACTTCCCGAAGGTTGACCGGTCCGAAGGCCACCACTTGTACCATAATTTATGGTCGAAAGCTTAAATAAATGAATACGTGCCACAATAACAACCGGAAATAAAAATTGATCAGGAAACAAGGGAACGCATCGAGCGTGGAGGAGGCGGTGGAGGTGAGCGAGGCCCCCCCCGCGCCCCCCTCGCCCCCCGCGCCCCCCGGCCGCCCCCGGCGCGGCCGCAGGGGGCCGGTGGGGGCGGTGTTCGGGGACAACTTCGGGCTGCAGCTCCCGCGCGGGGCCTCGCTCGGGCCCTGGCGACCTCCACACGCGCTCCACGGATTCACCGACTGCTGCATATATTTTTGTAAGTCTATTGCCACCGACGTCGTATACAACTTGATGTTCTTGTATTTCCCGATTTGTTTAATCCCTTGATGAAAGAGAAATATATTTACATGTACATACTCTCCGTTTCTTTTTTTCTATATTTATTATTCAGATAGAAATGAATTTAATTATTCGATTTATATTGAGTGATTATTTCACAGGTCGTGAAATAATATTCATTGTTAAAAAAATTATGTTTGAAAATACCAATTTTAATTTCCCGCCATAAAAGCTGTCATTTGCGTTTTATTTTTACTAAGTGTCAATTTAAGTATGTGATAAAAGCAAAAAACTACTGATGTCGGTTTAGTGGAATATAATAAAATTTATAATACTTTCTAGAAAATAAAGAAGCTTTAATTTTTTTTTGCTATTTTTAATATTATAGTTTATTTTTTTATATATGTCTATAGATATTATTGACAATTGTGGACCGATTTACAAAATTCTTTGTTTGGTAGATCAGTTCAAAGTTTTTCTATATATCATCAAGTAATGCGGGAAATCCTCAAATATTATAAGTAGGCATGGAGTGTTTTTTGTAGTTCAATTGTTCGGGTATTATATAATAATACATACAGAATATACGTAGAAAATACCCAGAAAACCCGCGAACCATCGGAGATAAGGCGGTGTTCTAAACCGCTAATCTCTCAAAGTAAAGTATTATTTGTCGATGTAATGATTGAGTTTTTAGTTGTTTTTTCTATTCGTATAATGATATGTTCTGGAATGGCAGTGGTGAGGGTGGTGGAGTGCGGCGAGGTGGTGCGGCGCGTGGTGTGCGGCCTCCTGCAGCGAGCGCGCCCCCTCCCCGACCGGGCCGCCGCCGCGCTAGTGCGCCGCGCCCTGCCTCGCCTGCTGCCGCCGCCGCGCCTCGCGCGCCTCGTCACGCTCGCCCACGGTGCGTACACTGTCCCATGGTACGGTACCATCGTTCTATACCCGACACCGAGTCTCGCTATAGATCGTGACCCGGTCGAGACGCTTGCGGTCTGACCTTCCATTTGACATTGCATGTGTCACGCGTTCCTATGACAACGCAAGAAAATTATATTCAAATGTCTTATATCTGTACATGTATGAAATAAGATTTGTACCATTTTACTTTAATTTAGTACAAAATGTGATGCATTAGTTACTGTTATTAACGGGTAAATGGTATATTACAGAACTGATTTTCGGCTCGAAAGACCGAGAGCGAACGTCAAGCGCTACCCGTGACCGAGCGTTTCAACGCGCGCGCGATCGCCTCACCGCGCTACTCGGCGGGCGCGCCGCCGCTGCGCTGCAGCTATTGCAGCGGCCGCACCTTAACAAGCAGGTCTGCTATCACCGCTGTACGCATCCGCACAGCCGCTGCAATGCAGTTGCTGTATCCGCTGCACCTCAACAAACACGTCTTCTTCCACTGAAACAGGCGTGCCGCGCAACTGCCGCACTTTAGCGGTGTACAGTTGGGTACAAACTCACTGCCCTCACAACGAACGTACACTCTAGGGAATGTTAATGATTAATTCGACGAAATACATACGTATCCACAAGTGCAAGCCTGTGGGTTATCACAGAAACCACTTTTGAACGAACAATACTCATTTTTTTCCTAGAAACTTTGATCTTATCTCTCTACTGAGCAAAAATATTATATCTCCTTCAGAACTCTCTTATTAAAACTGAAGAGCCGCCCACGAAGTTTGAGGGTATGATTTTAATATCGTATAAGAGAATACTTAAATTATTAAATGTATTTTTTTTTTCAGTTGGTGTACAATTTACTGGATTTGTGCGTGATAGAACTATTCCCGGAACTAGGTGCTACAAGGGATATGCCATCGAAAGAGCCAAAGAGTTGAGACTAACGAGCATTGTATGGAAAAATAAACTAACACTTAGAATAATATTATCAGTATGCATTTTTTTGTAAATTGCGAGTGATATATGTTTTTTACTGACTGTAATTTATGACCTGTAAATATTCACCTGTAATATATTTAAATCTATTTTTATAATATTAGTTTTATAGCAATACAATTTGAATTCTTAATAAACCTAAGGTTGTTGATAGCAAAAAGACCATGTAACTATTATAATAAATATTTTTTAATATTTAAATGTTTTCAATCTGTAAATGGGACACCAGAGAATAAATTATTTTTAATAAACATTTTTTATTTACCTACTTTTTTTCTGACTGAAGGAAGGCGGTAGCTAAAAAGCTAGTAAGGTACATTCCTTGTTGAAAAATGTATGTTCTCTGTGAGTATAAAGAAAAGATTGAAAGAATACTGAATGCTAAAAAGCATAGAAATAAATTGATGAAATACAGAACATTTTACATAGTACAAAACAAAGTATATCTTTTTCGCTGTTCGCTTATATCGTTTAAATTACACAACGGATTTTAATGCAGTTTTGAGTAATAGATAGAGTGATTCATGAGGTAGATTTATATGTATAATACAAGCGTGTTATAGTATAGAACAAACAGAGTAATTCAAAGTTGTGTAATGCGTCCGTTCTAAGACTGATTGGGTCGTTAGTATTGTATATATCTTAAAACCTAGTGTTCTAAGCTTTAAGAATGGTGACAGACATTGTATAACAGTTAATAAGAAAAAAACCAAATCTATATTTCGAGTTTTTTTAATCGATTCCATCCAAATGAGTATACCTATACAAAATGTCTTGTCTGTTATTTGGATGCATACACCCATTGTAACATGATGCAGTAAAGAGCTAACATATTGAAATTAATGCAACAAAGTTAAGAGATGGTATTCGCGTAAGAAATTTGGCGAAAACACTCTGTCCTCTATATCATGCTATGCACTAATTACAATAGAAATATTATGAACTCTATAGCGAATGTATACTCATATCACTTTAACATCGATTACTTCTATGTTATTGTAATTTCTTCGTATTACTTCTATTTTCTTTATACAAAATAGACAAATTAAAAAATATCGGTAGACAGCGTATTAGCAATAACAAAACGCTAATGCAATGTTCAGAAACTAAATGATTAACCTACCGAATTACGAAGTTCGACTATTAGTACTCTACTTGCTTATTTAAGTACATTATGTAATTTTATAGGATTATACTCTTTGTTTTTTTGTACGCTTGCTAAGTACTGTTAATATTAGGTATTTCTGAACGAAACACGTAAATGTCAATTTTATTTTTAGTGGAAAGTAAGAGGAGATGGGTGTGTTGGTTTCCTTTGTAATTTGTATTTATTTATGTTAGAATGATTAGTTTTTTATTATATAAAATACTATATAAATTTAATATTTCATAATGTAATGTAAAGAATTATTAGTGTTAGCTTATATTCTAATTACATATGTTTATATTCATATCCATGCAATGGAAAACATACAAATAAATAATACGCACGAACAATTGAACACAAAATGATGAGTGTTAATAGTGAATGTGTGATGTTTAGGAAATATAAACCGAATCAAACAGCAAACTAAAGTGATTCCGATTATCTAGTTGAAGCAAGTGTGTAATTATTATTGATGTGTAATACAGAAAAATATTTTCTGCTCAATTATAATGAGTTTGGTTTTAATAAATGCAATTTTTAATTTATGATATAAACTCATACTGAAACTGTAGAAAAATGTCGTCGTCACCGTGTCAAAAAGGCGGGATGCGCCTGAGCGAAGCATTGGATAATATGCAACTAGCATACAATCCAATTACAAAACAGTTGCATTTCGTGAGTCCAAAAGTGGAGAAACCGCCAGAAGACACCACAGACGATGTAGATAAGCTATCAAAAAAGAGTAGTTTCAGTGATGAAGGCAACTTCTCTATGTCAACTTGTGAAAAAAGTGATACAAGTGATTCACCAAAAAGTACATTACAGTGGGGTGGCAGCGTGAGTGGCCACCAGCGCGGGAAAGACGGTGGATCATTTTCGAGCACTGTGTCCAGTCTATCAGAGTGTTCCCTCGGTTCTAATGCATCAAAAGAGGATGACACAGCAGATAATACTACCGCTGCCACAGACCAGTCGAAGTTGAAGAAAAAGGGGTTCTCTGGATTCTTTAGCAGGTGAGTGCCATTATTTTAACAAGCATAATAATCTTGATTAGTGCAGAGTATTGGCAATCAAATTGCCTGTTCATAGTGTTAGTTTTCATATAGTCTCTAGGTTCGTGGAATGTACATTATTCTATGTTTGAACTTGTTATTTTGAGCTCATCAACCGGTACCTGTTTATGCAATACAATATTTCATGTTTTCTGTTTGTTACATACAGAAAGAGGTTTAGGTTTTTAAACTATTTATATCAATATCTATTGGTTCCACACAGAAGGAAGTTTACAATTTATATCTTGTTACTCCAATTGCAATAATACTCAGATATCAATCCACAGTTTTCTCTCTTGTTGATCACATATTAATAATGTTTATTATAATGAAAGAAAATATAATTGCTGATACTATTATTATGTCAAATTCCTATTAAATGCAGTGTAATTTTTGTAGTAATGATACAAACTCAGATTGAAATTGATCCAGACATATTCTGAGATTACTATATATTTTTGGATAAAATGCTAAAACACTTTATTCTTAAAGAAATTATGTTTCAAACTTTATTCCTAAATATAACATAATATGTTTATAATGCATTACACATGATTACATAATAAACAGCTTAATGGATTGAATAAATAAGTTTTATAAAGCCATTGAATGTTAGGAAGTTGACTCATTAGATAATGATGTCATACATTTGATAATGAAACAAATATAAAAATGGATGCATATTTACATCTACTCAATCTTATTAAGATAAGTACAGAGTCCATTAATATGAAATGGAGATCTTTGTTGATGAAGGGCCTGAGATGATGATGATGATGAATATGAAATTAGTTTAAGTCTAAGTTGGTATTGAAAACTATTAAATAATATCTGCTGCAAATTTTATGCATTTCCAAATAAACTGTAGTTTAGGTTCTTTGTTGTGACTTCTTAGTAGTCGATTTAGAATTGTATGCATAATTTGTATACAGATAAATCTCTATACAATTGATTTTTAATGTTTTTTTCCAAAACATACAATTAAGTATATATATTTTTTTATTAAAGTTTTACTTGTATTACAGTTTATTTTTGCATATTATACATGAATAATAGATGTGGCTAATAGATGAATTCAAGGTAATTTATTTCTGTGAAATAATTTGCAATGATAGTGTTATAATTAAAATCAAAACAATTGAACTAATTCCATTATGTTTAAATTTATTTTTATATGAGTACATAATATTTGCTAATTATTTTACTTAAGACTAGTAACTTTACCTCTGTTCAAACAAGAATTGTATTTTATTATTACAAATTTTCTGACAGATTAGAATAGAGAGCAGGGTCTTTAAAATAATAATAATATAATAAGTTAATATTTTCCATTATGAAAAATACAATTTTGGTTTCAATTTGATAAACTTAGTCATTATAATATAATTAAAAAAAATATTATATTAAATAATTACTCTATTATTATCTACATTCAAATAAATACATCATCATACACTCTTTCCATACACATTACTGTCAATACCAATTAAATCACATGAGATTACAAACAGTTTCTTTTGATGTTCAATGTTTTTTGAGTATCTACTGCTAATACCTTCTATACAATTACTAATGTATAAACCTCCATTATTTTCTAAATCTTTATTAAAACAAGCATGAAGTATAGAAATAGCTCCTTTTTCTGGTGATTTGAAAAACGTTCTCATCACCCATGGGAAGAATTTTCTAAATAAAGTTTTCTCAAATAAGTCGGTGTTAACAATTCCGGGATGAACAGCATAACACTTGACAGGGGAACCCTCTTCTTCCAACAACTTGTTGATGTATCTTGCGGTCATCAACTGTAACAAAAACAATTAGTTTTGGCACTTACATAACAATTGTTCGGTATAGTATGGTTTTAGCAGAATTGGATTTTAAAAATACAAAATAATGTACATATTTTGATGAATATGATGATGGACCCAGCTTAATAGAGAAATTTGGTTCTAAAGAATGTGTTTTTTTAAATAACAACTGCATGAGATAAATATAATACCTGTGCTAGTTTGGATTGTGAATAGGCTGCTGTAGTATCATAATGTTCATTCATATTAATATCTTCAAAATATATTTTTCCTGGATAATGTGCACATGATGTAACATTCACCACTCTCGAAGCTTCCCCAACTTTGCCTGTAGTTTTCAATGCTGGCAACAATAAATGTGTCAAATAGAAATGACTAATATGATTAACTGACAATTGAGTTTCAATTCCATCTTCAGTTAACTTATAATCACCAAACATAATTCCGGCATTGTTGACTAGAATATGAATCTCATGATATTTTTTCAGTACATTTTGGGCGAATTGTTTCACAGATTTTAAAGACTGTAAATCAAGTTGAAAGGCATATAAATTTTCCCCATTCTCCATAGTCTCGGACAACGTTTTAACCAACTCCGGCTTCCTTATGCCCATGATAACCGTCATGTTTGCTTTTAGTAATCCTCTTATCACTTCAGTGCCAATACCGCGCGCCCCGCCCGTCACTACAGCGATCTTTCTGTTCGCAGCTGGCAACACTATTTTATTTCTCCTCAAATTCACCCAGTCGTCGATCAATCCGCCCGCGCCCGCTCCCTGCATGTCCAACGTGTATCTCAGTTCACTCAGTATATACTTTAATGGTTTATGTCTGTTCATGTACCAATAAACAGCCGCTCCCGTTGTTAAAATCACCAGAGTCGCAACAGCGAACGACATTTTGGGGTTATGTTTTCGTCTGTGTGATGCGACGCGGCTGCACTATACTACTGGCTTTCACTCTGTTGGAAATGTTATACGCTTTCTCCGACCGTCGTTTGTATTTGTTTACCGTTAGTCCTGAGTCTGAATGTATTGAGCATCACACTCCTACAAGCAAAATAGATAACAGCTTATAGCGTGCACGCGAAAATAGTTTGTTTACGATTACGAGCAAACCTGTAGTGTTACTTACTGCGAGGAATTCGACTTATTTCTGCGTATTGAAGCGCCGGATTCTGCTATCTATACTAGTATTCACAACGGCGTAATTCACTAGACGTAATTATTGTTTACTCTACAATTATAAAATTCGACAAATGAAATATATAAATAATAATAAACAAGGTCGCTACGCTGTATTTTTTATTATAGATGATAAAGCAGATAGCCCAGCTAGGTTTGTAAACTATGCTCTGTGCATTTAATATGGCCAGTCAATTAATTAAAATGTTCACTATATCAAATAAAACAAATTTGTTGGAAAATATTAATTATTTTATAATTAATTGATTGAATTGTTGACTTAAAATTATACTAATCCACTAACTCCAAATATACGTAGTTATATGTACGAGTACGCCAGTTTTTTACTGTCATAATATCAGTATGACTGACTCGGCTGTCACTCACCCGTCCTATGCTTGTTTGTGGTTGATTCACTTCGGTCTTTATAGTTTTTTTCTAATTATATATTTGTTTAACTATTATTAAATTTTATTATTTACAATGATATAATCCGACTATCCTAATTTTATGACAGTACCTAATATTATCATCATTGTTAAACGTAACATAGATTTTATTTATCAATGAAGTGACGTGTCTGATAATTTTTATCTATGAATATTATAGTTATAAATCTTTCATTAAATATTTCCAATAAACTACTTTATGGACCGGTTTCGTTCGGATTTATCATGTGAAAAAGTAGCCGTATCTCTTCCACTCCAATTCAAACGTGAAATTAATAGGTACCTGCTAAAATTTTATGACAATAGGTTGAACCTTTATAGATTTCCTACAAGTTTACTAGATCTGCATTTCAATTTAGCTAATATTTTTCTTATCTCTTGTTTTGGTCTCGGTTGTCCATGTACTATTGTCAGTATTAATTATGATGTTATAGCAATATTTATAACACACTCGTGCATTGTGTCCAAATGGTTCTATCCAAACTAGACCCGAGTCTTTTTCTTCTTCTAGCTACGCGATAAATCCGAGTTAGGTCGAATTTGTCGTATAAAAAAACTATGTGTCATATGTTTAACTGTATACATGTCACATTTTTAACTGTATATATTTTTAATTCATTCTACGGTAACGGAAACACCAATAACGAGCCAAATTTATCTAAACAGGGTCGCCCCTTACTACATTAGATTGAAATATATTTTTATTTTACTATGTTCCGTATACTACGTAGAACTTTTAATGAAGCATAAAACTTACTGCAATCTGGCTCTTGCGTCATGGGCATCCTACGGATCATCGCTGCAACTGCCGGTTCAAAGACCTTGTTACGGCTTTAACGAGAATTCCCGCTACTCTATAATATACTTACCAACTAATAAATTACGCGGTCAGGGCAAGTTTCAATTCCCTAGAAGTTATTAACAAAACTAATATTAAACTGATTTTGATTATATTTCTTTGGACCGATCTTACTTCTTTGACATTACAACTCAGGACTGATTATCCTGGCGATGCAAAATTAGGAGTGCCGGCCCCACATAAAGTAGAACAGTGCTAAGAAGAAGAAGGAACCGATCTGAATTACATATATATGTAAAAAGTGACTATTTTTAAAATAGTTTAAATATACATATATCTTGTAAAAATACAACCGAATTACAAACCTTCTACTTTATGGTCGGTTAAAAATTAGAAGAAAATAAGTACATTTTTTATGCAACTGAATGTTTAATTCATGCTGCTTTGAACAGAGCCGCGGTCATTAGGCAGTAAGCGTGTGATGACAATGGTTTTTTTATACTATCGGAATGGCAAACAACTTGACGAACCAGATGATGGTAAGCGGTTTGAAATGAATGATAATAGAATGGCGCACCCGCCTGCGCTAGCGGTATACGCTGGCGAGGCACCAGTGGAGGGTGACAGAGTAAGAATAAAGTCAGGTCAGTTATCTCATCGTGACAAATTCACCAGGAATTTATCATGATGGTTTCTAGGGAGAACCGGACGTCAACCTGATATGGTCATTGCTAGCAATGAGGTCATCGGTCCACATTACTAACAATCCCCTTCCCCCGGATGGAATTACCCTTAAATAAATTCAAAACATCGGTTAAGTCATATTTACTGAGCAAAGACTATTTACTCACGAAACTATTACTTGCATGACGAGCGTGCATGGCAATAGTTGTTCATGCACGGGATTTTCATTTAATGTTAGACATAGACACCTATATAAATACCTATACATTGTAAATAAACTGGCTTTTAAAAAAAGTAATTCAATTGAGTTTCTTGCCAGTTCTTCTCAATTGGATCTATATACCGAACTGGACGGTAAGGAAAAAAATTGTAATGTAAAAACTTGACGTTCATAAGCAGCTAAAATGTCCTACACGAATAAATGATTTTTGAATTCAATTTGAATCTGATGGTAAGCGGTTTTGACTGCCTATATACATGAAGAGGACTATGGACGTTACGCTATCACATAGCAATCGTAATATGCGTTGCCAATTCTGAATTCAGATTGGCAACGCATGTTATGAGTGCTATGTGGTCTAAGATGTTATACCTCTTATCCTATACTGAACGCACCATAATGGTGCGGAAGGCGTAAGAGCATTACAAAAATAATAAATAGAGAAATAATAATTGCCCTTCCATTCTTAAGGACAAATTTTAATAGCATAACTTGAAATTAAAATTTAACAATTTTGATAATTTCTAGAATTTAATGGCCCATCATTTATCTTTAACATTTAACAAATTGTTATCGACTATAGAAACAGTAGGCTGGTTTACGTAATTGGAATTCATAATTAAACTAATGAATTAGTTGCTTATTACACTTGCCTGATAGCATTGCGTGACTCTTCAGTACATTTTCTAAATATTTCAACAATGTTAATTATTAGAAAATAAATTCAAGGTGGTCCTTTGAGTTATATTTAATAACATCATATAATTACCATACGATTAAGTAAAAAGTTAATATTAATAATATAATCTAAAAATTAAAATATAACCCAACGATTAAATAAAACCAAACTGATGAATGGACTTTGACGAGGTTTCCAAACATTTCCTTTCGATCATCAATTTTTTTCCAAATCAAGTTTACAAATTACGGAGGTCTTAAGTAATAGGAAATATGCATAACTTCCTCCCCTTTTTGAAAGGGATTAAAGAATTAATAAGTACGGCTGTGAATGCTTTTAAAACTCCGTTCAAAATACTGCAGAATAGTGCAGCATGCATACGTAATCTCGTACACAATGGCCAATTTCTTACAAGCGTTGACCGGAAAGACCTGTTTTCAAGACACTTCGACCTACCCACCCAGGGCCCTCCCGACACTTGACCTTGAATGGTTTAATGCTCAACAGCTCATACATTGCTGTTCATTCATTGGGATTGCTTCGTAGTTTAGATTTGGAGCGGCGTTGTATTTTGTGGTGGAAATGCAGTCGAATAATAAATCTGTAGTTCAAACTGTTCTATGGAATGCGGTCGACTAAATAGCTATGCACCCGTTGAGCCCTTTATAGGATGATAATTAGAGATGTATTAATAGATTTCGTGTTTTAAATTAGAAACGGAGTTGTTGGCATTTAAGGCAGCGTAAGAAATTACTGAAAAAAAGTTTAAAAGGTATTAAAAAGTTTATTACCTTAAAAATAAAACTGACAGAATCCAATCGTGATGTTAACCACTGCCTTCGGGTGGTCATGGGGATTGTTAGTCATGGGTATTGTTGCCCCATTTCTAGGACTGCAACCCTTTCAAGTGGACCTCTATTCGGTCTTCTCTAAATTGGTAAGAACGGGTTAACTAACTTGACTTCGGCTTTGTCTTCTTATCCTATCTTCGTCTTGTCATTCTCGAGTGGTGCCCCGCCAGATTTTAGCGCAGGCGGGTGCACCATTACATTACCATCCACAAAAATATCACTGCCTTCAAACTATGTGTTTTAAAAGTCAGATATAGATATTGTGTGGTTATAAACGGTAGGCAGTTTATAACATCAAAGTATTAAAAATCACAACCACAACTCTTAAAAATATTAATGTAATTATTCCAGTTACCGCAACCCCTTATTTTAACCTTTTAAACAAACTTTGTTTCGCGTAGTTTTTAGGACTAGTGGTCGTCCAATGGTAGAAATCCGTATTAAAATTATAAGTTTGAACATTATTAAGTTTCTATCGTCAAAGACTATATGAGTACTTCTATGCGAGTGTATGTCAAAAATATGGTAGTGTTTGGTATTGTTTTTTTATTTAACGTATTTTTTAAATCCATCTTTCTCTCCTTAAACTATAAGTTTTACCTTTAACTAAAATTTCAATCACCCCCGTCCGCGCAATTTTTGTAAGAAAGAGTACAAAGTTTTTGCTTCACATACTAATATAATGATACCAAGTTACCGTGCAGCGTACATTAAAAGTTGAACGTTCTCATCAGCATCAGCTGTTTCAAGGTTCACTCTAGTGATGTATTGGTTTCTGTAATGTTATGACGTTTTCGACATTTTATTTATAGGATCCTCTTGATAATGAGCACCAAAATTACATAGAGTATGTATTTTGTCCCTGATTAGTTCGTGTCGAAAGTCGATGTACTTCGTTTTTTTTAACAATATGGATGTTATGTTTCTTAAACAGGTTCAAAGAATTGCATAAGTTCGTTCAGAATTTTGCTATGTGATGTTTTAATCCTAGCTTTATTAATTTCCTTCTTTTCTTATAGTGCAGAATACTTCAATTAACATTTAAAAATGCAAAACGAGGATTGATTGTTTTTCCTAATTCGGTTGTATTTTACCTCACAACTCTATTAAAAAAAACTACTTTTATGTTTAAGTATATTGGTATTTATGTATATTATTTACTAGTTGTTTAGTTTTTTTTTGACTAATTTATACCCACACAAAGTATTGTGTGTCAACCCAAAATACTAACCTATGCCTGTTTTGGGTTGACTGGAAGAGATCTCTTCTAGGGATAAATCCAAGATCACTTCTAGAGATAAGTCCACCTTTGTACACACAGTTTCTAAATTATTATATTATATTATTACTGTATTATCTGTGCAATAAAAAATATATAAAGATATTTCTTATGTCATGCTTATGATATTTTTATATAACATAGTATAATATAGCTCTTGACAGTAGGTATATATTTGCAACTATG